CTTCCCAGTCCAGTCAGGGTTACCCAGCTGCTTCTACCTGCCAAAAGTCTTTAAAAATAAGAAGAAATGTACTTCAAAAGATTATCAGTAAAGTGTACTGATCTTGATCAGCATCCTGAATTGGGGATATTACTCATAATATTGTTACTGTCATGACCATCATCATCATCAACAAAAACTTTGGAGTCTTATCTAAGTAGGCTACATATCCAATTGAAAGAGACAGGTGTAGATACCCTTAGTGGGCTCTTATTTATGATACTGAGTTCTTCTCTGACTGAGATAATAATTGGATTTTTACCCTGGATTGTTCATCACATTGAAATAATGTGATTCATTCATAACAGTACCTACTGCAGTGTGTAATGTTCCCCTACCATTTAGCCATCATTAACAATGCTCATCACTGATTCTATAATGAGTTGCTAAAGCAGTGTTTCTCACCCTTGACAACTTTAAGATATGTAGACTTCAGCTCCCAGAATTCCCCAGCCAGCATGCTGGTTAGGGAATTCTGGGAGTTGAAGTCCACATATCTTAAAATTGCTAAGATTGAGAAACACTGTGCTAGAGTATGGAGTACAGTTGGAGAGCTTCAGAAGGTCCAGCAAAGAACAGTTGTTATCAAATCCAATATTCAGTAGGTCTTTACACACGTATTGTCCAAATATGTAAAATACTATTTTACAAAAAGTGCCTTGAATTCTTGATAACTTTGTGGACGTGTCTGTGCAAGTCTTCTCGGCAACAATACAGAACTGACTTCCCTGTGTTTTATTCCAGGATGGATTTCAGTTTCCCTGTCTACCCTCCAGCTCTGATATGTCCTGCCGCCCCCACATCAAACTACTAATTAGGGTTGAACCTGCTTAGCTTCTCAACATTGGTCAAGATCAGCTCTGTGTTGCTATCTGAAGAGGTAATGGAATCCTCTCCAGTAACAACTCAGAGGTAGACCTGACTGACCTTAATGGAACCTTCTCCCCAGTTAGTAGATGTGTGTTTATCTTAAGCTATATTTTAAAATGAAACCTACAGTATGTATGTAAATGATTTCCCTCCTGAATGAATTACAACACTTGACCATAGATGAATGCCAGCTCTTCAAAGTAGGCCTGCTCAGGAATCAGATGCTGCAAGAACTCTACTCCTGTAGGGTAGAATAACAGGATCTTGAAAGCCTGCCAGAGTTTTCCTCTAGCCCCTCTTCTGCATTACACAGGGGGGGTTATTTGGAGTTTCTTTCTCATGCTCCCTCCTTTCCCTGGCTATACTGTTGTTCACATTCTCTTTTGTTATCTCTGAACGGTTCTGCGAATGATTCTTGCATTCCTTCCTTAACTTCAATCCTGCATTCCTCTACAAGGGAAGTGTGAGTGGGTTGGAAGGAAGAGAAAACTGGAAAAGTCATGATAGAATGGAATTAATGAAATCCTAAAAAAGAGAAAGGTGGGAAATGTATAGAACAAAAGGCAGTGTATGCAGTAGTATATCAAAGTGGTGGAAGTGAGGATGGTTTGCAAGGTCAGAAATATATACAGGTAGTCCTCGTTTAGCGACCACAATCAGGATCAGCAACTTGGTCGTTAAGCAAAGCGGTCAGTAAGTGGAACATCACAATTTTACGATCTTACTTGAGCTTTCCTTTGCTTTACAGACCTGCAAAGGTTGTAAAAACGAGAACTGCAAATAGTTGCTAAACGAGGCAGTCACTAAACGAGGACTAACTGTGGAGGGATATTTTCAATGGTGTTAGTATAAACTAGATTACATTCTTTATCTCATGGTGTTAATTTATTTGGTTTGGTATTTCATACTTTTCTGTGATCTATATAACTTTGCTTACCCCCAAAGGGAAAAGCATTGTGGGTACAAGTGCATGTACACATTAATTTTCTTCCTAGTTGTTCTTTTATCCATAATTTACAGCCTAGAGAGGGATAATTTTACCCACTTCTATTTTGTGTTCTGTTAACAACCAGAAGCCTGCATATTTCATTTTGCTCATCACTTATTGCTTTCGTCGTATGCATTAAGAGAATAATATTTATGAGAAAGTAGGCACAAATGTTCAAATAAGAATTATCTTTTGAACCAGCGTCTTGAGTGCTGTTACAGAACTGCTAAGCCACAGTCCAGTAAAGCCAACAACTTGGAACAGGTTTTGGGGAAAAAAGTGGGTTTGCTAATATAGTAACAATTGGATTCTGGACATTTAGGCAATGAGGCTTGGAGAATGCTCTGCTACCCCATTCTCCAGTTTTATGGCTATTTTTAATTGTAATAACCTATACCTCACTTTCTTTAACCACAAGAAATACCAGAGAGTTTACAATTAGAAGCAAAGTGCTGAAGCTAAGCCAGTCTGGCCCTATAAAACTGCTTAACTGAAAGCATCGCATGGAAGTTATTTTGAGTTCTGTAGATGACAAGCAGGATATACTGTACATTTTGTATTATATGTGTATAATACACTTCACCTTCTAAAACATGGTGACTTCGCAGCTGCCAGCAATCGTGGAGGAAGCAAATTATCCTGACTCGTTTCGTATGGGCTTCAGAGTAGACTGCAAAAGTTGAGCCTGTTCTGGTTGGCCTAGCTTAACAGATGGTTTTGTCTGGGATCAGGAAAAGGACTGGGACTCAGCTGGACCGTGCACTATGTCATCTTTCTAGATCACGTGAGAGACAGTGCTCTGATGGCGTCATTTGAAGGTAGTTGCTCCATGAACAGGAAGCCATTATATTGGTGTTCCTCAGGGCTCCATTCTGTCTCCAGTGACTTTAATATCTATATGAAGTCCCTGGGGAAAATGTCAGGAGATTTGGGGCTGGGGAAAGCAGGAGCATTTGAATGGCTAAATCTAGTTCTCTGTATTGTCTTCAGACAGGGGTGTGGCTCCCTTCCCTGCAGTCAGTAATGGTTTGAATGAATAAATGGAAACTGAATCCAGACAAGATGGACATGCTTGTTATGAAGTGTCACACTTCCTAACAGGTGTTAAATCTCCCTGTTCTGGATGAAGTTACAGTGTCTCACACAGGTACATAACTGGGGAATTTCTGGATCTAGGTACACAGTTTGGATGCAGAGGAATGTCTGGATCCAGTGGTCGCTCTGATGTCCCAGAATGATGGAAGGGCCAAGGAAGCTTGGGTTGATATGCTGATTGTGTCCTTCCTCGAAGACAATGATTTCAGACTCTGATGCCTGTGTTGGTAACTTCCAGGCTTGATTACTGCAACGTGGTCTGTGTAGGGGATATCGTGGCTGGTCTGGAAACTTTGATTAGTAGAGAGCGTGGCAGCTAGGTTGGTTTCTGAAATATCTGCTGAAGGCATTTCACAGGCTTCTAGTTTATTTCTAGATGAAATGCAAAGTGCTTAGTATTATCTTTAAAACTATAAATGGCTTGGGTTCAGTCTATTAGAGAAAACCCCTCCTATTATGTGATTACCCCACCCTGGGATCATCCAAAGATCATCGACAGTTTCTGTAGGTTTCTCTTATAGTGACATGGAGTTGAGTTTCCTCTTAACTTGGGGAGACTACACCTTTTAAAACCTAATTGATAATTATTTTAATTTTATTTTAAATTTCTGCTTTTAACTGGAATTTATGTTGCTACAGAGGAAGTGACATCTGATTTGGAAGAGGATGTTAATGAACATTAATGAATCAAATATATACGATCTCCAGAGCAATACCATTTGGTATATAGAAGGCTTCTGTCAAGAAGGTGACAATAACCATGACAAAAAACATCTTGCATTTCTTGGTCTTATGTCTGGTGGTACCACACCAATGAACTCAAGAAGGACCATACTTTGTTATAGTCACTAACACACTGTGCATTTCTTAGGTAAACCTTCAGATAAGTGAAAGAAAGTTGCAAAAAGGAATGATAGAAAACAGAGCGTAGAGATCTCAGAATTTGAGCCTCTGATTTTACCTACATTAATTTAAAGAATGTAAACATGTTTGGCGTTAGGATATTTTATAACTTGGAAAAGAAGAGAGCATTATTTTAGGATCTTCATGACTACATTGACAGGCCCAAGAAATAGATTCTTAAGAGAAAGGGTGGTCTAATTAGCTGCTTAATAATTATTTATCCTAAAGCAACAGCTGAATTCTTCCTGTTATTTATATACTTCACCCAGACCTGGTGCAGGGACATCTGTAGAAAAGTCAAGGTGGTGGCCATGACTGCCTGATCAAGGCCCCATTCCCCTTTTGTTATGAGCAGAGTACCTGATGCATCTTGACTTTTTTTTATTCCCCATTCCCACCCTGTCCTTTGGATGCTCCTTATCTGGTGAACAGTTATTTTTGTAAAATCTTGATGCAAGAATATATTAGTGATTTAATTAAGTGAATGCTGAACTCTGTTACCCTATTTTTGTAAGCTTAAGGCGCTGTTTTTGCCTGTTTTAACCTGTAATATGCTTGCGTTTCACAAAAAGGGAAGGCGGATGATCTTTGTCTCAGAGAAACAAACATTTCTGAGATAGATTCCCCACAGAAGTTTTATGGTATACTTGAAAAACTTCAGATGTTTCTGCTAAATGAGATGCTAATGGAATTCTGTTTTTAAACATAAAGCGAGTGGTAGAATAACTTAGTTAAATAAATAATATGCCCAAGGAGATCTTTTAAAAATAGAGTGGTACATTTTATCATCCCTTGTTTGAAGTAGTGTGGAATTAGATTTTCATGCATATACATTCTCTTACCAACGTCATTGGGAAATGGTGCATTACAAAACCATATATGAATTATACTGGCATAAACAAAGGAAATTATATGAAGGTATATGAAAGTCCACATGATACAGGAATCTGTAAATACAGCTGGCATATGTTATCGTTTCATTTTCCTAAAACGAGGCCAAGGAATTGTTCATGTAAGACTTGGCATTACTTGTCTGCATAATTTTCCCTGGTTTTTGATGTGAAACAATTCAATTCTCCCTGCTCACTTTCTTTTTATACTTTAGGTCCTGTTACTGAAGTCAAAACAGATATCTATGTCACCAGTTTTGGTCCTGTTTCTGATGTAGAAATGGTATGTATTATTATTGTTGATCACACAGTCAGCCAGATGTTTAGACTGGGTTTGGCATTTTTATCCCATTATTAGTATTATTATTATTATCATCATCATCATCATCATCATTATTATTATTATTATTATTATTTTGGTAGATTTGAGGAGGAAAAAATTGAAACCCAGTAATGAGTGGGTGACTAAGTAAAGGGCCTTGGGACTCTCCTGTTACTCGTGCAAAAAAGAAGGGATTAACGGCAGCTTACTTTCAGGCTTTATTACATGTAGCCGTGACAGCTTCCATTCTGGTCTTTCCATATTTTTCATAAAAAGGGTAAAACCTCAAAATTTGGCACAGTAGGGCTTGGGTGCTTGACTGAAGAGCTCAGTCAGGATCCGATGAATGCTATAATCTGTATAATGAAGCAAAATGAGCCCACTTGATTTATTTATTTGTGTAATTTATACTGTCCCTGCAGGGAAGGGCAAGAAACTCTCCGGACACCGATCGTGTGTCCCAGTTCCTTGATATTTAGTTCAGAAACGCCTCTGACTTTTCTGACTGCTCCGGGCGTTACTTATAGACCTGTGAACATCATCTTGCAATAGTCGTTTTAAAAGAATAATAAAGGATGAGCTGAGATTTTTAGAAATTGAATTCTACCCTGTGCATTTTTGTTTTTATTTGGTTTTGTCCCTTGTAGGAAGTTGCAGTGATTGTATAACCACGACTGTGGTCTACAAAATGATCTGAATCAATTAGCTGGAGAAAAGTGTTTGTGCTCATTGACGTAGGTTTACTTCTCTGAGGCTTCAGTGCTATGCATATTTACTAGGGACTAAGGCCTGGTTGAACTTTTTTCAATTAACCGATGTTGGACTCTGAAGGGCTTTCCTCAATGAAAGAGATGATTCAATGAGTACACTTATGTGGAGTGAAGGGGCATCCCCAGGTAGAGGTAGAAATGGTGGCCGGAACCATGTGATCAAAGCCCCTTCTGACAGACCTTAAAAAAGGGGAAGGCTTTGATCGTGTGACTGTGGCCACCATCTTGACTTTTTGAGCCCCCTTACAAATGCCCCAATGCAGTAGCCCTTTCTATTGAGCAGTATGCCTAGATCAGTGTTTCTCAACCTTGGCAACTTGAAGATGTGTGGACTTCAACTTCCAGAATTCCCCAGCCAGCTTGCTG